CTGGCCTTGGGGGCCACATACTCGCGCTGCGCTCTGTTGACAATAGTCCCCGGCTAGGTCGGAATAAAGCAGAATGTTGGATTACTGAAGGTCAGATAAAGCAGAATGTCGGATAATCCGGACTCTAGTGTAGTTTGGCTCTTTGATTTGAAAAGGCTGCTGACGAATCTCTTCTTATTGCCTTTTATATTCCTGGTGGGATGTAACTCATTTTGTGCCTTAATCTTTATGATTTGTTTTGTCTCTACATGCTTGTGATATTTCTGTACTTGTCCTTTGAGATCCATGTTTCCATACTTGGTAGGATTCCTTTAGATTTTCAGGTTATTAAAATGCTGCACATACAATATTGCTGAAAGCTCTTTTAATGATTTTTTGAAAATGAACTAAATGTTGGAGAGGGAAATTTTAATTTCCTACCAAGGATGTTAAGAAACGCGTCATTGGCTAATCATGTAGTCGATACAATTGGTGTGTCCCCCCGGCTTGTTCTGGGTCCAGGAGCTACCCCTGCTGCGGTTCTGTGGTTCAAATGTAGTAGAAGCCGGGTGTGCAGACAGCCTGGCTCCTACTACATTTAAACTGCAGAGCTATAGCAGGGATTGCTCCCAGATCTGGCACTAGCCAGAACTGAGTAGTCCTGGCTTGCGCCAGTTCCGGGACCGCTGTGGCTCTGCATTTAAACTGCCGTAAGAGTCACCGGGCTATAGAGCCGTAGTGGGAGTAGCTCCCAGAACCGGCTCATGCTGGCTCCAGGACCATTGTGGCTCTGCCTCCCCTGTCCCTACCATGCACACTGCGTAGGTGGTGCTGGGGGCAACTGGCTTTTAAGCTACCTGTCCTCAGCTCTGCTCTCCCCCCCCCCACCTCTGATACAGAGGCAGCAGGAGCAGGGGGAGTGAGTAGTCCAGTAGTCACTCAACTAGGCTTATTAGGTACTTCAGCTGGTCACATTTATTCCTATTTCCTGCCTTTTTGTGATTCTTAAAAAGTTACCTCTGTTAGGTTTTACATAATATTGTGTTATATAGCATTCAGCTGTTAGAGAATTCTATAGAAGATTGTGTTGGGATTCTACTCAGGCCTTTTTTCTTGTCCATGACACTAAACTGCAAAACGTAGATATACACCCTCTCACACCCAGGGAACAGGGTAGAAGAGGAACTTGAGCTCAGTTTTGTTTGTTCATGAAGTCTAAAAGTCCCAAAAGGATTCTATGAGATGAAGGGGTAGTATCTTTTCCTAGTTTGCTTGTTAGAAAATGTTTTATTTCCCCTGAAAAGGCACTCGAGGAGATTGGGAAGCTATTGAAATCAGGAAATTGCAAAAACCTGAAAGATGAGTATTTGACTGTCTGAGGGCTTAGCATGGCTTGGGAATACCTCTTAATTCCCATAGAGTTCGAGCTTTCATTATGTGGCCCCATGGTCCATTATGGCATGGTGCAGTGCAGCATTGGGTTGGCTTCATTTCCTCCCCTGGCATTTTGCTCCTTCACTCAGACTCCAGTGCTGATTTGTCATGATCTTAGTTCTCCAGCTAGATCGCACTAAAGTTCCTCCCCTTTTGGCGCACCCAAAGTCCAAAATCAACATGAATAAATGTAAGCTCTTTCCTTATTTAAGGAGAGTGTGGTAGCAGTTGTGTTCCCCGGTTCCTGGCCCTAGCTAACATTCTCTCCCACAGTGAGAGGTTAAGATGTGTGCTCTCTCACCCACCAAATAACCTGCCTCAAGGCCTGATTTTCTGCTTCAAGTGCTTTTAGTGGTGTTGATTAGACCTACGAACCTCACACGTAATTTTAAAAAAATGAAATCCACTGAATATGAACTTGAAGATACATTGTTGTCTTGCCAAATCTGCAGACTGCCTAGAATTCTGAGAGATGTTAAGGACCTTTCTTCATCTTTGAAATGTACTAACTAGGATTTCTCTGGAACACTTCACAGAAATATCTAGATAATGTTTGTGGTTGTTGTTACAAAAGGTAGAATTGGAAAAGATCTAGATCTGTGGTGAGTAACCTATGGCCTTAGTGTTTCCTCTGCAAAAAATTGCATTTCTATTGGATTTAAAATACAGGCAGTCCCCGGGTTACGTACAAGATAGGGACTGTAGGTTTGTTCTTAAGTTGAATCTGTATGTAAGTTGGAACTGGCGTCCAGATTCAGCTGCTGGTTACAAAAGGTAGAATTGGAAAAGATCTAGATCTGTGGTGAGTAACCTATGGCCTTAGTGTTTCCTCTGCAAAAAATTGCATTTCTATTGGATTTAAAATACAGGCAGTCCCCGGGTTACGTACAAGATAGGGACTGTAGGTTTGTTCTTAAGTTGAATCTGTATGTAAGTTGGAACTGGCGTCCAGATTCAGCTGCTGCTGAAACTGACCGCCAGTT